CCGATAGGCCACGCTGTGCTTAAATCTACAGGCGCATCTTTACGTTATTACGTAAAGTAGCATAAGTGATTCTTTTACGAGAAAATTTACCTTAAAATTATTTTTGCTTCCGAGAATATATCAATTGCAACATTCATCTCGGACTTGAGAAAAATCTTGTTCATTGTTTCACATTTCCTCTTAAAATTAACAAAAGAAAATTCTAACTTAAAAAGGCATTTGCTATTTAGTAACTAAATCAAATAAATCAAATAAAAGCTCTAATGAATAAATCAAAAATTAGAGAAAAGCCTTTGAGAACCGACACAGATTGTAAGTGTGTAATTATAAATTCTTTATTATAGGAGACACATAAACGTTTCGATTCTAGTTTGAATCCTCTTCACTATGAATAAATATATAAATAAACTTCGAATATCGCAATAAGAATCATTAAAAGTGATAGTATACGAGAGTTAATATGGTCAAATGTTCTCATATCCACATATTGTTATTGGTTGTTCATTAAATTCCAGTAAACTAAATAACACAGTGCAACAATATAGGTGCTGTCATAAAGAAATTAATTGTAACAAAATATGCATTTACATAAATATTGAAGTTGATAATGATATCTGCGTGTACATGATCATCAAATTGTTATTTACTATAATACGCTATAATAAAAATATTAATTATTGATGAATTAGATTACAGGATTACAGATAAATTAAAACTTGCATAAAAATGCCGATATCTAGTCATGACAATATTAGCAGTGAGAACATTATAAAATCAATAAACAACATAGAACAAAGAGGAAGAACTGTCATAAATCCGTTAAAATATTCAAATATATTAGATTCAAAGATGAAGTGTCAGTTTACAAATTCAGTCCGTGTTTCTGTTTTGTTATATGAATTATCCGATATCAGTTTTTTTGATAAAACTTTCTCACTCAATTCGTCACAAATTTTAATATTATCCCAATCAAAATCGTGCCTACTTTCTATTTAGTAACTATTTGAAGATACCAAAGTATATTTTTTATTCTCGTATTTTACGCCTGAAAGTTGTTTAGAGATTTATTTCGCCAGGAACGATTGTCAGTGGAATTTCGCTGTGAGCTGCGAAACAAACACGTGACGTGTTTGTGAAAGGTATTGGCTAACGGTAGATATTAATTTAAGAGAATCTACGAGTCGTATTAATCTTACGCTGATGTAGCACATAGACCCCAGGTGGTTTACGAATCTAGTGGGCAGTAGGTCGATTGAAAGAATTTCTCATCAACATGATGTGAAACCTATCGTGACATTGGAAATTTCGATACTTCAGTTACTGCAATTTTTGCCAGTACACGATGATTTGATATGTATGAATATAATGTATACAGGTAGCTGAAATAACGCCCACTAATCATACAGTGCTATTCCTAATAAAAAACTAAGTTGAAAAGTCCTCTACCATTTTGTAATTTTCCTAATAATTAGTTTCTAAAGATTGCCGAATAAGCGGATAAATTATAAAATCGATGTACATGACAATTTTAAGATATCTTTCAATGTTCTTTAAAAATCTCTTAAAGATATCTTCAAGTTATCTTATTCGTCGATTTTAGACATTTTACTTAGTGGATAATTAAAAATATTATGAAAATTGCAAAATGATAGAGGATTTTTCGACCTAGTTTTTTTAGTTTTTTAGAGTTAATGTTTTCAAGATCTAAAAATCATTTCGAACGTGCGTTTCTGGAGACTACGTAGTATATAAATTCACACAAAAATCATACAAGCATTTAAGATCCAGTTGAATCGTTTAAGACTTTGATTTCTATAATTTGTGTTATCACACATATACGATCCTAAAATATATTATATTGATTATGTAAAAAACTGAAGCACGACGAACAACGTTGCAAACAATTTTGACATTTCAGCAACCAGCTTGAGTGTCCCACATAATGCAATCAAATTATTTTCATAGATTTAACTAAATTTTTAGATACTTCAACAAAACTATTTTTCCCATGTAGAATACATTAAAATGAATGTATCAAAATAAAAATATGATTCAAATCCTGTCACGAGTTGCAGATTGCCGAAAGTGGGTTTTTCTCTTAACTTCTTTTACTTTATTATTATTACTCATTTATTATTTGTCTTGCTGATCTCTACGTGCGATTCTCGCGACGTTATAAATCCTTTTCAATCACGCACCTTATTTCGAACGTATCTTCGCACTTCGGGCAATGTGGTAGCCGCTGGTGGCTCATTGATTTCGCACGTCCGTCCTGTCAGAAGTCCACGGACGCTTCTTCCTCGCACCAAGAGCTTCGAAGACGTCCGTCGGGGTGGCGAGAGACGACGCCCCATGTCGGGCCCGGTGAGAAGATGAGAAACATCGCGGGAGGTCCCGCGCTTAGCGCGCGGCCCAGGATTGATGGACATCCTCACCTACTCGCGTGATTATATTCGTCGGCCCGCGTCCGTGCGTGCGTGCGTTACTCGTGCGTGAGTTACAGCCGTGCACGCTCGTGAGCCCCGCGTGCGAGCGTGGTAATCACTGGTCGTTAGCGCCTCATTCACGCTGGATCGCTGGATGTTACGGACGTCACGGAGCTGCCTCATTTCCAGCCGGTATCGATACTTCGCACGTACGATCGATCGGTTTACGTCGGGACCCCCTAAAGCCGCCTCGATGGAAGCCTCCTCTGCCCCTCGACTCTCATCGTTTTGTCCCGTCGCGATAGCGCATTGCTTTGATACTTGTTAGGCAATAGGCTTTTAATGACAGCTTTGTGCTTCTCTCTCTCTTTCATGACTTCTCGGTCTAATTGGTATCAATTTGGGTATCCAGATACCTATTATTATCAATGCAGGTTAACTTTGATTTAAAACTGTAATACTCTTCTTTTTCTAGTTCTAATGGTCATTTCTACTAATATAGTTTAACTTTAATCTCGGTTCAATTAATTCTTTATCTTTTTCTAATTCTATGAATAGTTAGAAAAAGATGGAGAGGGGGAAGGGGAGGGGGAGTTAAACCAAGATTAAAATCTACATTGATAAAAACGAGCATAAGAATCGGAGAAAGATAAAGAATAAATTGAACCGAGATTAAAGAGTCAATCTATATATTGATGAAAATAGGCACAAATGGAGTAATATTCTAAGTATGTAGAAGTTATTTTCTTTTCGCCACGCTTTTGGATAAATCTTGATCTAAAGTCATATAATTCTCGGATACAACGAATAAATTAATTTAGTATAATCGAGAGAATGTAATCTGGCTTGCAAATTCTTCGGGAAGTGTAATCGAGACTTGTTGAAAGTAACAAGAATCACAGTAACCCTTCTGCCCCGAGAAAAGGCTCGGCCTTCTCAACACCTCATCTCTCCGCTAGCGTGCGTTGATGATCTTTGAAACTGGTTGGCTCATTAGTATGTGAAGGTTGGTGCCACCTACTGGGCGGGGCAGCGGGTCATTGAAACAATGGTGTTGTGACTAGACATCATCGACCTCATCGGGAAGCGCGCGCGGAGTAGCCGATTGATTTCAGCGATGATCGATAGATCTTTGTTCTTTCACGCGACTGTTCGATCTTGAAAATGCTCGAATTTTATATGACCAGCTGTTCTCAGACTCATAACTCGATTACGTAATTAAGAATTTATCACTGAAAAAAATTTTTGGTTGAAAATGGACGAATCAGAAATTTCTGGTTAAATTTATTAGAATTCTAGATGAAATAACCGGAACTTTGGTTGATACAATATTTCTAGTAAAATCTACTAGAATTCTTATTTTTATCAGAATAATTATATCAATCAGAATTCTAGTTATCTCAATTAGAATTTTAATAGAGTATACCAGAAAATTCTGATTCGTCCATTTTTCACCTGAATTACTATTTGATTCAACCAGAGCATTTTTTCTCATAAACAGTGATGTACTAATGATTTTCTTTTTTGAATATTTCTCGCTAAACTTTAGCGAACATACATGAAAAGAATAATTTTACTAAAGTATTTAAAAATTTAGATTTTATTACTTTATTCTCTTATTGTTTCTTTTTAAAAAATAAATTTTATAAATATCCTTGACATTCTCATTCCTATTATAGCTTCATTTCATAAGAATTACTTGTTTCTTTTTGTCAGTAAATTGAGATGAATATAAGGAATTATTTTGATATATTGGATAGTTGGCACTATGGTTGATGCATTACTTGTACAGGATAGTATCATATATATTAATTCCGTTGAGAATGACTTGAAATAAGTCGAAACGCGCATAGACATTATACGGACATCATATTCTGTTATATTAAAAATGGATTTTTAAACATATCGATTGTTATACTTGCGCACCAAGTACCACGCTAACTTCTATTTCCCCTTACATTCTTGTCTTTAATTTGTTAAATATTAAGGAGTCCTATAACATTAATTATTGTTCTCATTATTATTTAAAAATTTACTTAGATACAGATTGATCTGAAGATAATTGTGTTAGATTTAAAATAATTATCGAAATTATTATTTTGAGAAAATCTATAACACAATATAACACAATATAACTATCAAAATAATTATATGTAGGACGCTCAAACTGATTGCTAGAATGTTGCACCACTTCTCATCATGCTTGAGTTTTCTACATAATTATTTTGATTCAACGCAATTACTTTTAGATCTGTATTTACTTAAATTTTTAGATATTTCAATAAAATTATTCTTTTTTTTTATGTACACACATACTGAGAGAAATTTTTATGTAAATAACTATTTATTTTGTTGATATGTGACTTACAAAAATCCTTCACAAATCAACAAAATAAATAGTTATTTACAAAATTTTTCAATGCAACATCCGCTGCAATTATTTTGGACAACAAAGTTCCTGATGGAGCTCTTTGTATGATTATGTTAAATTGCGATTACATTATTAACAAAATATTAGTTTAACAATACACACATTCTCGATAACATAAGAAATAACTGTTCGTTATTTTCCAGCGATGCGCAAGCACAAATGCCGGAGTGGTATCATGGTCACGACCCACGTGACCGTTTTAAAGGATCGCCAGCAGCCACCATCAATCAAATCGACGGAGAACGGATTCTCTCGCTGCGCACGGGTTCATTAATTATCGCGCAATGCATGGAGGTGGAGGAGGAGGAGGAGGAGGAGGACGACGCGCTTTTTTTTGTCGCCGTAAAACAACGGGGACCAAAGCGAGCGGGCACACAGGAACGTCGCCGTGGTCGCAGGAGTGCAGGTAAGCCCGATGGCATTCTAACTGGACGCTCTCTCGTGGACCTAGCCCTCTCCTCTCTCTTCCTCTTGCCCTCTCTCATCCTCCTCTCTCAAAAAAGGGTAGAGAGTGCCAGTCATATATTAGAGAACTGTTGGGGACACCTAACAAGCTGGCAGAACACGTTTCCCAGAATCGGGGGTACCTGGTCCCGGGTACCTCTACGAGCAACCCTCTCTGAATCCATCTCCGTCTCACTCCCACCTCCTCCACCTTTCTCACGTCCTTTCACTGCCGCGTCTTTTTATCGTCCTCTTTGTCTCCGTTTTGTTATCCCTTTTTTCCGATGCGCTCTCTCTGTCTCTTTCTCTTTTTCTCAACTGTCCTCTCTACCGCGGCAATAATCCACGGTGTATTTCACGTCCGAGAGGCGCGGATGGATATTGTTTCGCGCGCTCTGACGCCGGTCCGTATTTTTTCCCCTTTCCTACCACCGTGCGAGTTGAATTCTGCGGTTTTTAATATCCGCGAACGCGATCGTCGAGTTGCCTCTGCCAGAAAAGTTCTCTCCAACAGTTCTCGCGTTGCATTATCGTCGACTTTTGCATCGGTCATTGACCAATCTAACGCACAACGATCAACAAGTGCGCGAACTACAAGCTTGTTCAGATGGGAATTATACACTGAAAAAAATTGTGGTTATTTTTGGTCCAGTGAATGATTTCTAATCAAGATCCGATTTAATATTCAATTAATTCATTGTGTGATACAATAATTGAATTCATTAATATAATTACATATTCATGCATTCTTGCAATAAATTAGTAATAGTTTCATAACTTAAATCATTATGAGAATTCATTGGACCAATTTCCATTAATTCAATGAATATTTTATTGTATTTATGTACAGTTTTAATTCAGTGCAGAAATTTGCATTGTTTCTTTATCATGTAAAAATATTCGAGTATTAGTTAAAGTTTTCTGCAATTGTGCAAAGTATTTTTGAAATGTTACCTTGTCAATCCTACTTCCTTTTGTATCTACATGAGAAAAATGTTCTGATTAAATCAAAAGACTCAACTGGAATGGCGTAACCATTTTCTAATTATTATAACTGGAAATTCTGTTTGGTCTCACCAAAAAGCTTTCCGGTTGGACCTTTTTATTAGTTTAACCAGAATATTTTTCTTTGCGTTGCAATCTAAATCAGAAGTAAGATGTAATTGTATCGCTATCTGTTCAGTCGAAATCAACGTAATCTCTCATGAGGCCCAGAAAGATTAAATCTCAAAGAGTGCGTTTCTTACATCTATACGCGACGATTACTCTTTACGAGTTGTTTGGCAATCTCGTTGTGAGATATAGAAACGAACGTGAAGCTATTCTCCAGCAGGCACAGTGATTATTAATCCAATTCTTCTTTATGTATCGCTGTAACCACCGTAACCAGTTTCGCTGGTACTCTAGAATTACTATTAAGAAGAAATAACGCTTCGGGGCCGTTCACATCCCGTTCAACGAGTAAACGTTAAATAAAAGCGACACGCTGCTATTATTACAGTAGTACCTTCTGAGCTATAGATACGCTACGTGAAAAGGATGAAAGTAAATAGAAAATTATTTTGCGTCTGAATTGATTCGACATGTTGGAATAAATGTAACGTTTTTTGCATACTCGAGCGTCTAAATCAATAATCTTATGCAGTTATATACTTAAAATCGACTCACGTGGAACAGTCACTGATTGGTTTCCTGATAAACTGAAGGAGCAGCAAATTTCGCCGAAGTGGAATTTTGCTTGACTCCGCGATTTTCCGTATTGTCGAATTAGCGTCCGTGTGTTTCGCGACGTAGCGATTACTACCTGCGTTAGGCAAGCCAATAAATTAATTTAACGTACAGTCCCAGGCGAGGTAAGCTGCCGAGCAGATCGCTTCCTAAAATACCTGAACGAGTTTACCAGAAATAAAAACAAGTCTTAATTAAATGAAACGGTCGTGGTACCGCCGCAGCACCGCTCTTGGGTCCGGTCAGTTAGTTTTACCCTCGCCAGTTTGGGATTTCGAATTTAGTAGCTTCAAGTACATGAGAAAGAGAGAAAGAGAAAAAAAAGAAAGATAAAATTCTCGGGACTTGTGTACAGCGTATGTCCGTATGTAGAGAAATCTGTAAACTGTGAACGAACGGAAGAAATTCATGTAAACATGCATAAAAAGATATCTTTTTCTTTACGCATCTTGTGAAAATTGAAATAGATTGGAACGAGAAAAATTAGGATAAAATAAAATATTAAGCGATGATAATTCATGTTTAAAGATGACAATGAATTAATTATCTAGAAATATATATATACAAGTATATATATATATATATATATTTCTAGATAATGAATTCATTGTCATTCATATATATAGAAAGAATGATTTGCTGAAGTATTTAAAAATTTAGGTAGATACAGATTTGAAAATAATTTTGACCAACGAAGTGATTATAGAAAATTCAAATATGATAAACAATGTTGTAAAAAGTTTTGATATTCTAGCAATTAATTAAGTGTCCTATATAATAATTATTTTGATGTTTCAGTAAAATTATTTTGAGATCTCTATCTAGCTAAATCTGTAGATATTTCAACAAAACTGTATTAGTAATATAATCTCTTTTTTTATATAGCAACACGAAAATATAATTTTAATTAAAAAATTATTCATCCGAGTAGGAAAAAAATTTTATATTTATTTTAATTTGTTCGAAATGATGAGTCGTTCGAACACTTCTCTCGATGCCTCGACTCAGGTAGCTCGGTCCTGGTATCAGAAACACATCGTGTCCTACACGAGTCGCGTCTGATAACACTATTATCCGAAACGATTCACACGGATCTCGCTTGATCTTTGAGTTGCTTTACTAACCGACTTATATCAGGAATTCTTTTACTTGATACGCGAATAATGAGTTCAGGATTTATCACTTCATCTCGATTCCTTATCTATTGGTAGCATTTTCTATTACTTATTAGTAACATTAATGTTGTAAAGAGATTTAATTAATTTACATATTTAAGGGAAGAGAACGTTTAATACAACTTTTCCTTCTCTCAGACGCAAATGACGATAGGCTGGCGGATTATTCATTGAGGAACTTAATTTACATGTCATTAAATTAAGCGAAACGGCTAATTTAATTAAATGATGCAATTGATTAATGAAGGCGTAATATCCACATGTATCATAGCTGTTATCCATGAAACACGTTTAGACTTCGAAGGATTTATATCAACGCGACACAATAAGCTCGCAACGATACATCATGGAAGATCATTAAGTTGACGAGCGTACAAAAAGATTTCAATTCGCTTGCTGTCAGCTATGATAATTCTCTCGATTTCTTCCTTGTATGTAATTGCACGGACATTATACTTATGTTGCCAAATTATTTTCGAACTTGCACATGTTATATGAGTAACTACACATATATAAGGTACACATATATAAGCACGATAATTTTGTTATTTCTGGTAACATCTAAGAACGTAATAATGCTGCGATAAATAAATATTTGATTAAATTTTGATAAAATTATAAAGTTTATTCAATGTTCAAAAATGTGTAAACTTTATGATATTGTTCTCGTTAATCATTAAATATGTAACATTCAAGTTTTGAAAGATCACTGAAAATTCCGGAATTCTGATTGATACAATATTTTTAGTAAAATCTATCAGAATTCTTATTTTTACTACACATATCAATCAGAATTCTAGTTATGTCAATAGAAATTCTAATAGATTTAACTAGGAAATTCTGATTCGTTTATTTTCCAGCAGAATTACTATTTAATTCAACCAGACCATTTTTCTCTATGCAAAGTATAGTCCGTTGGATTGTTCTATCAACTATTAATTTTTAGACATTGGAAAGTTAATTTTGTATTATTTTATTTGTTCGTATTTCTTAAGAATTCTTCAGTTATTCCAAAATGACAACTGTATTTATTAAAAGATAGTTAATTTTTTAATTCAAAAAATATTGTATATCGTAAAATCAATCTCTACATCGTATAGATTTCAAATTAGACACATTGGATACTCTTGTCATTAATTTCAGTGTATCGACGAGCATTAAGAATTCCGGGGAAAATTCCCTCGATGACAAGGGTGAGTTCGTGAGAGAGGATCGGTGAAAGGAGAGACGTGGAAGGAGGATGGGGGTCAAGGGTAATGCATTCCATGAGTTGACACTCGTGGCTGGCCCGAATGTTTCGGATGGTCTTCTCTCCTTCTTCGATCTTCCGTCTTTCTCGATGCATCCCGATTCTCTCTCATACACCACGGGTTCTACCAGCTGGATCCAACACGGCGTGTTGTAGACTCCGACGATGAACGGGAGAAGAGGTCTGGTGCTGAGTTACGGTACGTGTTCTCGGTTCCTGGAATCGCTAATTAGTGTCCTCCTTGTTTTATTCCCATGCTGCTCGTCCCCTGAAAATGTGGTGTTCATGTCGTGGCCGCGACATTGGTTCCCCTTCATAGAATCTACCTACTATCAGAGACAGATTGACGCCTGGGATGATGATTTCATCTTCTCATAATCGCCAGCAGTCATAAAATTATTTCCATCTCTAGAAATAATTTTATTGTACTAAGAGCATTCTTCCATGTTGATAATTTAACTTTATGAAATGTTTGACATATATCGTTTGAGCTTATATTTAATTTAATCCTGCTGTCTGTTCAAATTTACTATACAATATCATATTGTTTGCATCAATAAAAAAGCATTAAAAAGCTATAAAAAAATAAAAAACAAAAATTTTTTACAAAAAAAGGATTTTATATTAACAAAAGACTAAG